GCACGCTTCCCGCCGAGCAGGGAGCCCGATGCGGGGCTCGATTCCAGGACCCTGGGATCATGACCAGAGCGGAAGGCATCCGCTTAACCAACTGAGCCACCCACGCGCCCCCAGAAATCATTTTATAAGAATCACCATCTCAGAATCTGCTTCTAGGGAACCTGACCCAAGACAGTCTGGATTGAAAACAGCCCCTTACTTGCTAATCTATTTTCACAAAATGTTACTTTTTGTGCATCAGTTTCTGTCTTCCAACCTTGAATCAGATGTCATTTGACTAACATCTCCCTCCCCATCACACACACACACACACACACACACACACCCCCTCTGGGTTACTTTTTTCTTGGTGAAGTCATCCAAAAAAAAAAAATCTTAATCTTTTCTTTCATCCACTTGGATATTAAGGTAAGACATTTACAGACTCTGGTTTCCCTGGGCCTCTTTCAAGATGTCTCCTTGTGTTCTGAGTCTTTCCTTAGATGCCTTGTCCCTCCTAGCACAGGACAGGAGGTGATTCGAGGGAAAGAGAGCTTAATCCTGGCTCTCTACGCCACTCTCTTTGCCCACCTCATTGATACCGTAGCTATAATTCTCAAAAGAAGGGTCCTGCGATCCCAGGAAGTCTTTAATTAGTCACGACCGGTCCAATCAGACTCTAAGCAAACCCAGCCTTCACTCAACTGCCGCCTACCGTATCTGTGTTCACACGTCTTTGCTTCTGGTCTAAATCGTTAATAACATAAATCCAAACTTCATGTCTTAATCAAGACCCAAAGTCGCAGAATGCTGGTAAGATCTTTTGGAATCAGGAAGGTTGTTTACAAGAACTCTGAAAATGTTTGAGAACCCCAAAGTTTTGCTCTTTTTACTAACTAACCATTCTGTGTAGAGCCGGAGAGATGGCAGGGCAGGCCCCTCCCACCGGGACGCCATGGCGGCCGCTCCTGCTGCGGGCGTGGCCGCATCCCCAGAGCCAGGAATCCTTTTTCCGTTCGCTATGTCCTAATTTGCCAGTAAGCCCTTTGCTCCTCGTTCTGGTCCCTTACTACCTGAAGGCACATCTCCAGCAGCAAATAAACCAGGGCAGGAAAAACAGGTTCAAGACATTTCCGTAATTCTATTTGTTGATCACTTTAAGAGTCAAAATTATGTTTTGAAAATTTTTTAAACCATTACCTGTAGATTCGATTCGATCTTATAGTCAATGCTGTCCAACAAACATTTAAAATGCAAGCCACTTTGTAATCTTAAAATGTCCAGTAGCCTCATTAAAATAAGTAAAGAGAGGCACCTGGGTGGCTCAGACGGTTAAGCTCCGACTCTTGATTTCAGTTCAGGTCATGATCTCAGCGTCGTGAGATCGAGCCCTGCACGGCTCCGTGCTGGGTGTGGAACTTTCTTAAAATTCTCTCTCATGACTCTCCCTCTGCCCCTCCCTCCCTACCCCACCCCACCCCCGCCCCTGCACATGCGCACTTTCTCTCTCTAAAAAACAAGAAGAAAAGAGGGGAAATTAATTTCAGTGATTTTGTTTAACCCAGTGTATTCGAAGTATTACCATTCCAACGTGGAATCAACATTAAAAACAGGGATGTTTTACATTCTTATTTTGCATTAAATCAAAATCTAGTGTCGGTTTTACACTGAACACCACATCTCAATCGGACCGGCCACTTGCTGGGGGCTCTGTGGCTACCCGTGGCCAGGGGCTGCTGTACCCCCCAGGACGGCTGCAGCTTTCCCCCTCCTAGATGCCTCCCCTTCATGGGGTAAACCGTGAGGGTCTTTAGGAAAGCACTAGGTGGAAGGAATTATGATTCACCAACTTCAGTAATTTCCAGCCCCTCTATGAGTCACTAGAAATGTCACCTTTGAGGAGCCAGAGATGCTGGTCATCTCCTTCTTGCCCACTCTTGTGGGTATCTTGGCGCCAATGAACACACACACACACACACTCAAGACTCCCATGCAACCTGCCCACCCGCAGGCTGCAGTGTGCAGTCTGTGCCAGGCCTGAGTGCCCCCTCACCTCACCTTCTTGCAGGGCAAGCGGGCTTCCAGAAACTGGAATGGGGCAGGCTGGTGAGGCCTCAGCCTCGGGGAGAAACCTGAGTGAGGAAGGCACTGGGAGGCAAAGGGGACGAGAAGGGGACGGACAAAATGGAAGACCATGAACTCCAGCACCAGCCGGTCTGGTTCCCGGCTCCACCACCTATGGTTATCTGACCTCCCTGAGCCTCGTCTCCTCATCCGTTACGTGGGGCTCGCTGACTCCTTTGGGCTGAGATAGCAGCCTAAGTGCTAAGGGCCTGGCATGGAGGAAAGTGACCACTCGTGGCTTGCTGCCATCTGAAGAAGCTGTGTCACCCTCTGCAGGGACTCCCAGCCTCTGCCAGGCCACACCCCTTGCTTTCTAACTCTTCTTGTCCCTAAGAGGACACTGCCAACACCCCGCCCCCACCCCTGAGCCTTTCACCGGGTCACCTCAGTTCCAGCAAAGTCAGTGGCTTCCTGCGTCTCTCTCTGTTTGAGAGATTCCCCAGGAAACACCAGAGACCTGCAAGGAGCTGCGGGCAGGAGCTGCCTGGGAAATGAGGGTCCCAGGATGGACCCCCATCAAGGAGGGATGGGAGTTACTGGATAAATATCCCAGCTTCCTCACCCCTGGAGCAATTCTGCGGTGCATTCTACATGGTTCTTCAGAGGGTCCCCAGCGGGGTTGAGCCCCTGTTGCCCACAGTGATAACCTGTTCATTAGCTTTCTCTTATTGGCTGTTTTCCCCTCCCCGTCTCCCCTCTGTAGCCCCTCACTGTGTTTCCTGAGATCACCTCCCCAAAAAACAGCTTATACCCAATTCCTTGGGTCAGGGTCTGCAACCTAAACCCACAAGAGCCCCGCCAGCCCACCACTCCCTCAGCATTCTCCTTGCCCCAACCTAAGGTGCCAGCCTAACCACACAGAGATCAAACTTTTACTGATTCACCGGTGCTAGGGACTGAAAAAGAAGCCTAACAGCCAGACCCGGGAGAGTTCACACTACATGATTCCGTCTCTATTACGCTCAAAACCAGGCACAGTAATTAATGCTGTTCCAAGTCACACAGTGGCTCTTGGAGGGAAGAAGATAGTGATACAGGGAGGAGTAGTGACTTCGGGGGGCTAGATGTACGGTAGCCCCCCTCATCTGTGGGTTTGCTTTCAGTGATTTTAGTTACCCATGGTCAATCAACCACAGTCCAGAAGCAGATGATCCTCCTGCTGACCTAGCTTCGGAAGGTCAGTAGTAGCCTAACGCTACGTCATTCAGCTCACTTCATCTCATCACGTAGGCATTTTATCATCTCCCATCATTGCAAGAAGGGTGACTATAGTACGAAAAGGTATTTTGAGAGAGAGAGAGAGACAACGTTCACTTAACTTCTATTACAGTATATCTCTGTAAGTGTTCTGTTTTATTATCAGTTCTTGTTGTTAATCTCTTACTGTTCCTACTATATAAATTAAACTTTATTAGGTATGTATATATATGATATAGAGGGTTTGGTACTACCTGTGGTTTCAGACATCCACTGAGGCCTTGGAATGTATCCCCATGAATAAGGGGGACTGCTGTATTCTGTTTCTTGATCTCGGTGCTAGTTACATGGGTGTGTTCGCTTTGTAAAAATTACTTAAACTCGTCAAACTCTACACTTACGATCTGTGTGCCTTCTGGACGCATGCTACATTTAAATGAAAAATCCACTTGAGAAAAGGTATTTTAAGAAGGAAAAAAGGAACTTCTAAGTATGCCAGCCCACTCTCTCAGGTGGAGGACACTCTTCCCAGGCCGGGGAAACAGCTCCTGGCCAGCACTCTCAGAACACAACAGTGGGATAAGGGCTATACAAGAAATCTGAATACACAGGATCAGAGAAGGGCCCTGTGTGAGGACTGAAGAGCTGGGATCTCCATCCGGATGGAGGAGTGGACACTGTCCTATCCCACCAAGATGCCAGAGGGAACCCCAAACTCTGAAAGGACTTGAGGATCAGGAGACGATCTATCGTAAATTCTATGAGGCTGTAGAGAGAATGGGTCATGAGTAGGATGGGGCTGAATGGTTCAGACCGGATAGGTTTAAATGAGATGAAATGGGATAGGACGGGGAGTTAAAGATGGGACCCAGATTGTAAGGAGCTTACATGAAGTCCATCAAGATGAGGAGTTTGGATTTCACCTCACCCAGAGTTGGCGAATTTTCAGAAGGGAAATGGCATCCTTAGAATTATCCTCAAAAGATCCCTCTTTTGAGGTGTGGAACTGTGGGCCTCAAGGGGAAGTCTAGAGGCCAGATGTGTCTAAATTAAAATGAATGATGCCTTAACCAGTCAGAAGGGCTGGCTCTAAGAGAGGCCAATGGGCACCCCTAGGATCCTCTGTGAATTGAGCTGATAAGGACCCAGATCCATGCTTCATAGGTCAGGAAACTGAGGAAGGACCAACGGGAGGAAGACACTTGCCAGCCTCACATAGGAGCCGAGCATTTCCTTCTCTTCTTGAGCTCTCAGGAGCTCATTCTGAGACTGGCTTACATCCCAACAAAGGAGCAGAAGACACCAACAGTGAGACCACAAGAATCCATTCTAGCAGTCAGCCAGATGATGGCTGAACTATGCCCCCGGGGAGCCTTGTGTCAGACTTCACAACTCTGAGAACACTTCCAGCCAGTGATGTGTCTTGAGGGACCCTAGAACTTGGGCCATTACCACATCGTACAGAGGCGAAAACAGCGTCAGCAAAGGGCCGTGCCTGGCCCAAGGTGACTCAGGGGGCTGGTGGCACAACCAGGAGGTGAGCCCAGATGCACTGGCCTCAGACACCCCAACCTGCCGTCTTTCCAGAAATACACTGCTCCATGCTCCCGATGTGGCTCTCTGGTGGCCAAGGCGCAGGAGCTCCGTGGGCCAGAACCACAAAAGCAACCGCGAGGCCCACGCCCCCTCCCCTTCCTCACCTGTATGCGTGCGGACGTGCCTCTTCAGGTCGAAGGTGTCATTGAAGCCCTTGCCACAGAAGGTGCACAGGTGCCTCTTCACCTGGTTGTGGCACTTGAGGTGGCGGTTGAGCATGCGCTGCAGGCGGAAGGCCTTGCCACACAGCTCACAGCTGTGGGCCGCGGGGTCGCTGCACGTGCCTGTGGTGAACTGGGACAGAGGGGGGGGGTGTGTGAGGGCCCCGGGGCAGGCGGGCACAGCCGGTGGGCTCAGCCCGGGGGGCACACCGCCCTGTGTGTCTCCAGGCTTGGCCAGGCTGGGGCTCCTGAGCCCTACAACTTCCAAGCGGGTTTGGGAAGGAAATGGCTGGAAGCTCCTCCCCGCGTTCATTCCCCCCTCCTTCCTCAGAACAGACTTCTGATTTCTGGGCACAACGGCCCCCAGCTGAACGTCTACAGCAAGTCACGGCGGCGGGACTCGTGGGCCAACGGCATATACCCCTTCTGTCGGGGAAGAGGGTGCCCTCTCTCCTCCTTTGCTCCTTCCTGCTGGCCAGAACTCCAACAGCCACCCTGGACCATCGAGGGGAAGCCAGTGCTGAGGACGGGAGAGCAGAAAGAGAGGAGTCCGGGTCCCGATGAGGTACAGAGTCCCCGAAGACAGACACAGTCAATTCCTTCCTCCCTGTGCCTGCATGCCACTCCATCCATCAGGAGATTGGAAACCCTTTCCTCTCCCCTGGGATCTGGGCAGGGCCTGTGTAAGTTCTAGGTCTTAAGACACTTTGCAGCTGGGGCGCCTGGGTGGCTCAGTCAGTTGAGCGCCTGCCTCTTGGTTTTGGCTCAGGTCATGATCTCAGGGTCGTGAGATCGAGACCCACTCATTGGGGCTCCGTGCTGAGGAAGCATGGAGCCTCCTTGGGATTCTCTCTCTCCCTCTCTCTGCCCCTCCCCCCCAACGTGTGCGCTCTCTAAAAAACAAACAAACAAACAAACAAAAACGAGAGAGAGAGAGACTATGCAGCTTCTACATGTTCCCTTTTGGAAGCCAGCTGCCATGTAAGACATCCAAGACCACCATGCTGCAAGGAAGCCCAGGCAGCCATGGGGAGGGCAAGGCCACTGGGAGAGGCACTGAGGTGCCAGATAAAGCCTCACTGGGCCTCCCAGCCCAGCCCATGGCTGCCATCAGCTAAGTGACTCTGGCCAGTGCCACCCAGGGAACAGCTGCCTTGCCGGGCCATGCCCCAGCTCCTGACCCACCAAAGTATGAACCCCTAAAATGATCATTTTGGGAAGTGACTTGGTCAGGATCCCACAGCTTCATTCTCAGCAAAATAACCAAACCCCAGGCCCTGGGCTTCCAGTCCCATGGTCCCTCAACCACGTTTGCCGCCCCTAAGGCAGAAGCTTGAATCTATAATTAAGTGGTGAAAAATACCAGAGCTGATATATTCATCAAAGTTTTCCTAGTTACCAAATCAAATCCTTTAGAAGCTTGAGCCAATTGCTCTGCCATTTGTAAAAGGGCCTACTAACCTGATTTTCATACAAACATCATTAACAGGAAGAGTTGGTCCTTGCCTGGATCAACACCTCCATGGCCTCCAACACCCTTCTGCTTCCCTCCGCCCTCCGTATTGCCCTCCACTAAGTCCCAGCTCAACCGCTCCCTCCCTGATGCAGCTTCTCCAATTACTGCAGCTTCTGCCCAAACCGTTTTCTGTACCCCTAAGACCAGGGCCCTCAAACCCCAGTGTGTGCACAAATGCCCTGGGGGTCTTGTTAAAACGCAGGTTCTGATTCAACAGGTGTGGTGGAGTCTAGATGCTGCATTTCTAACCAGCTCCCAGGAGATGCCACTGTGGCATGGATTGTACTGGAGACATGGGGCTAGGGTATGACCCTCACACAGTTCAGTACTTTATTCCACTCATTCCAGAGGGTTCCATTATGCATGGATGTTTCCTCAGTGTTCCCCTTGTTTCCTCAAGTAAACGCCTTTGCAGAGGTCAGCAAGTGTTTGTGCACATTCCTGCCCCCCACCCCCCAAGCTCAGACTCAGGCCCGGGCACCAAGAGTGTTGATGGGCAGTGTGGCTCACAAGCGGCAAAATACAAAGAAACCTGGGGAAGGCACAAGACCCCAGAACACAGTTTTTCGGTCGGCCTCCTCATCTGTTTGGAGCTTAATTTGTCTCAGCCGACATATGGAGTGCCGGGTCTGCAACAGGCCCTGTACTCAGAGCTGGAGGCAGCACAGTCACCAGGATGGCTTGTCCCCACGAAGTTGCCAGTCTAGTGGGGAAGCAGACCCATCAAAAGGCCACTGGTATCTGGGAAGCTCCGGGAGCGATGGACACCTCGGACAGGCACCTACCCCAGGTGTAGAGTATGAGGGAAGGTGCTTCCAAGGAAGTGGGCTCACTCCTCAGCCAGGTAGAGATGAGGAGGTAGAGAAGGGCAATGAATATTCCAGAAGAGGGCAATGGGCAACAGGGAGACTGCATGTGGTTCCACGTGGCTAGCCTGAACCCAAGAGAGCAGTTAATGAAAAGAGCTGGGGTAGCAGGGCAGGGCAGCGTCCTCCTTGGGGCTCTATGTTGGGGCCCTAAAGAAACTCAGTTCTATTCAAAAGACAGAGGGGCCACTGGAAGGCACACAGAAGGATGGCCTCAGGGCTTGAGTTGTTGACCCAGTGGGTAGCCACCCTGGGCCTCCAACTGCTCAAACCCCACCTCTGTGTCCTCCAAAGGGATAAAGCCTGGTCCTCGTCCTGAGGGAGACCCAGATGAGCCCAAGACTTTCTTATTTCTGTCACCAAGATGGGGCAGGTCTTTTCTTCTTGCCTGGAAGTCCCCATTCTGGGCATTGCAGCCCTTGAAGGGATGTAAAAAGACTAAATATGGCCTGGGGTGCCTGGGTGGCTTAGGTCATATTCCAGGGTCCTGGGATCAAGTCTCGAGTCGGGCTCCCTACTCAGCAGGGAACCTGCTTCTCCCTCTCCCTCTGCTCCTCCCCACTGCTGGTGCTCTCTCTCTCTCCCTCATGCTCTCTTGTCTCAAATAGATAAATAAAATCTTAAAGAAAAAAAAAAAAGACAAAAATGACCCAAGTCTTGGCAAACTGAATACCTGGAGTTTCTCAAAGCCAAGTCTACACAGGAGAAAGGTCACTGAGAGCTGGTGAATGCCTAATAAAACAGAACACAGACAACTGACCCATGTAGTTTGATTAAGAACATGCAAAAAGCTAGAACTCTTCCTGAAGAATGTTCTTAAGGACTTGCCAACTTAGAGTCCAAACCCAAACTCCTGTTTAAGCCTTTTGTTAAATTCCTATTTTTAAAATGCTCTGCATGTAATATGGATACCTTCTATTACAGCCCAGGATGAAAATCTCAGATCACTGGCATTATTTTATTTGAAAAGAATAAAATCTTGAAGGGTAGAGAGAAAGGAGGTTAGTGACAATTTAAGGGAGTGCAGGGCCAATGGATCATCTGACCAAGATACAGAAAGCCTTTTAATACAGGGGAGAACATGAGAATGGGGGAGGAGACTGGGGACTAAGCAGTTTTCCTCTGGTTTTCTTGTAACAAAAATAGAAATTCTCCAAGTGTACGTCAACATAGGCAAATTTTCCATTTCTCCATTTTCATATACATCCCCATTCCACAGGATGGCAAACTGAGCCAGCACCAAGGGGCTCATTTAGGGAATCCATGAAGCACTGTTTGCCACCTCTCTCTATCTATGACCAACCCAGCACCCGGACATTAAGGAATTATATTTGAAGGCTTAAAAGGGCCTTGTTGAAAGATGTAAAGTTAATTAAATGGCAAAAGACCATGGCTGATGAAGCCAGCTTCTGCCAGACTATTTCAATCCTCAGAAAGGAAGGACTATTTGTAGGATAAACTCCTAAATGTGAAATTTATCCCAGAGTATATTTCACATGGCAGGTGCCCTGAAATTCTGTCTGTAATGGCAAAAGACCAGGAACTACCTATAAGTCCATCAATAGGGGCTTTAAAAAGATGGTAGAACCATATAATTAAAGAATCTAGAAAAAGGAAACAGTGTCAGCTGTCAGACACGTGATCCAGCCCAGTTAAGCCCCCAGAAGATTCCAGTCGGCTGCCATTTGACTGCGACCACAAGAGAAACCTCAGGCAAGAATGGCCCAGCTAAGCCCAGTTATTCCACAGAACTAGAATATAGTATAATAAATTAGGCTGCTAGGGGCGCCTGGGTGGCTCAGTCAGTTGGGTGTCTGCCTTTGGCTCAGGTCATGATCCCAGGACGTCCGGGGATCGAGCCCCTTGTCGGGCTCCCTGCTCAGCGGGGAGTCTGCTTCTCCCTCTCCCTCTTCCTCTGTCCCTCCCACCCACTCCGTGCCCGCATTGTGTGCTCTCTCTCTCTCGCTCAAGTAAATAAATAAAGTCTTGGAAAAAAAAATAAATTAATAAATTAGGCTGCTAAATGTGGGGTTATTTGTGAAAGTGCAATAGGGAACTGGAATAGTAAGAGATGTATCACATTCTCTCCAGAGCACCAGACCTGCCACATTTCCTAATGATCTCTTCCAGGATGGGCTGCAGGATACAGACAACACATCTGATTCCTGGAATGACAGCCCATGGGCCAGAGCACCAGCAATCCCTCCCCAGGTCACTGGGCCATCTTTACAATGTTTACAGAGGTTTATACCTAACACCCGACCTCCTAAAAGTTCAAAATAAGGTTAACCAATCATACCTATTACTCCACTTTGCAAGTAGTAGACCCAAACTAGTTACATCTTGGCCATCTTGGTTACAAAAACAGACAAGGAATGCTGAGGATCAAATAAAAACCTATACCTGCCATCACCCACTTGTGAGATGTCGTTTAATATCCCTGCAACACCATTTCCCACGTGTTAAGTATGGTAAAATGGCGGGGCACCTGGCTGGCTCAGTCCGTAGAGCATGTGACTTGATCTCTGGGTCCTGAGTTTGAGCCCCACATTGGGTGTAGAGATTAGTTAAAAAAAAAAAAAAATGAGGGGCACCTGGGTGGCTCAGCCGGTTAAGCGTCTGCCTTTGGCTCAGGTCATGATCCCCGGGTCCTGGGCTCGAGTCCCGCATCGGGCTCCCTGCCCAGTGGGGAGCCTGTTTCTTTCTCTCCCTCTGCCTCTTTCTTGCTCTTTCTATCTCAAATAAATAAAT